TCTTCTTCCTAGTCCTCGCTTTCCTTCAACCTGGCCTTCGATGATATCACTCAGTATTCCATTCCTTCTCATAATATGTCCCTGCCAGTTAGCTTTCCTTCGTGTAATCGCCTGCAGAATGTTTCTTTGCTCGTTGACTCTCCTCAATACTTCTTCGTTGGTCACTCGATCCGTCCACCTGATCTTCTCTATTCTTCTCCAACACCACATTTCAAAACTCTCCAGGTATTTCTGTTCCTATCAGATTATTAATGCGTGTAAGATGCTCGTGAAAACAGACATTCCAGAAGTAATTACTCCATGTGGCAGAGTCCTTCTTGAGAAGCCAACAGTCGCTCAGCTAGTCAAGAAATTACCATTTGCTTTGACCGAGCCACGTCTGTTTAACCCCTTGAGAATAGGAAGAAAAATTTTGTTTTTCGACTCTGTATTGTTGTTGGGTCATGGGTCGTGGCCTATCTTGGGGTAAAGCTTCCTGTTCCAAATCCCCCCCCCCCGGAGGGATAGACGAAAACACAAATTCCTGGAAGGAAACATTTCAGGAGTTAAACATCGGTCGTCTATCGAACCGGTCATTACTGTACATCCCAGAAGAATGTAAGCGTAAACAAATTTCTGAAAGAAAACTAATTGCTCAACTCTTAATTAAATACGTTCTCTTTTGGTCTTTACGTTATTTGTCTAATGTAACCCCAAAACGTTTCCTCGTCGCCGTGTTTGTAATTTTTGACACAAAACGTTTAATAGAAGGCTGTAAGTCATGTTTATTACTTCTATACTAAATTTTACCTTTCTACTAAATAATCTGTTACAAAATCCGAAAGCTAATTTACAGATTTAGTAGCCGTATTTTTTTTTTAAATTTAGTTCCACAAAAGAACATTACTTTAAAAGTGTAATATTTTAATCTCTGTCACCACACATATTTTCAGAAGACTGCATTAAATGCCACTAGTATTCAAGCAGCTTGGGCATTATTCCTGTTAGGGAGTCAAAGGACAATATTAAAATGTTCTTTAAAATCTTTCGACTGTTTCCCAGGTTGCTAGAACAAAACATGGACGTCGTAATGCCACAGGCCTAACTTTACGTAAATTCGTTTAATTATTTTGCGTGGTATTTGAACGCGATATTTCTTTGGTAAACTTTTCTTCTGACGTTAGTAATACCGACGGAAAGACGCAGATATCGGGGGCTCGATTCTGGGCCCGTAGGGCGGCCGTCCTTTGAGAGAGAGAGAGATTGCATTTGCTGCATTCGCTGCGTGTGCCTGTTCTTATGCTACCTCGAATTGCAATGTAGGTCAAACATGTGTTCGCTAGGAAGCAGAAAAGCGCGGGATCGGCGTAGAAGTCCTTGGTTCAGTTTAAACTACACCAAGCTATAGGATTTTGAGACTTTCGCGGCGAGTACAATCAATAAAATATTCTCGGGCAATCAGCCGCGTTAACTGACGCGGTTGTTTGCCCGAGATGATTTTATTTACACCAAGCTATGTATAATAATTGCTATTGGTTGCATATTATTTAATTAATTTAGTACACACACTCTGTTTTTCTTTTGTAAAATCATGGAATTTACTGAACATTTCATCATGTGTGTGTTGTTTTAGGCGTTTGTTCGTCTCGTGCTGTTCGGATGTGTAATTACTTATGAAGAAAGAATTATGGTGTCAGATAGAAATACAGTAAGAGAGAATAAAAATACACTTTGAAAAGCTTTTTCCGAGTTTTATGAGTCTAGGCATCGAAGTCATGCCACTGATGGTTATTCCACATCGGTAATTTCAACTGCCTGTCTTCAACAGTTTTCCAAACTTGTATAGTGGAAAGAAAATCTGTCACCATTGCGATATTTCGAAATTTCATACGGTGATATAGCCTTGAAAATGAAACAGCATCTTTTATTAAGGAACTTCCACGGCGCGAAATGGCCTGGAGCGACTGTGGTAATTGAAATTTGTATGACGATGTGGTATAAACAGCTACCAGTGTAATAAGTGGTAATCGAATACATATGGTAGAATTCTTTGGACCGGGATATCGCGGTAAAGTGATATTTGTACTGGAAGGTACCAGGTTCGATTCTCAACCAGGAGGTCAGCAGTTGTGCACAAGATTTTCGTAGTTTTGCTCGTTTCATCCAGACGCACTTTCGCGGGAACACCTTGAGATTTGCGAAGCTTCCTTTTTCCCCCACGACATCTTGAAGTAGGCCACAAGAATATTTTGCATGTGATTTCTATTCATTGCAATATTCCGTGACATTTGATGTTTCATACCTCTACGGTTGAAACGGTTCGCTGAAGTCACTTAATAACTAATAACGTAAGAAGTCTTAAGACTCATCACATTATTTTGAATACCTGTTCTTACAATCAAGTATAGACCAATAACTAATAACGTAAGAAGTCTTAAGGCTCATTACATTATTTTGAATACATGTTCTTTCAATCAAGTATAGACTTACTAAAAGAGATAACGCTGGTGATATTTATGGAAGATGGATGTACCTTTTTTCTCGACATATTTTAATCCATACTACATGAACATATTTTGATATTATTTACTATTTTTGAACCTGCCTTCGAAGATTTATATTAATGTGTAGGGTGATGTGTTATTACTTTGAATACGTCAAGGGTATAGTGGGCTCGAACGTCTTCGTGCTGAAGAATATCAGTGCTGAATTTGTCTTCTTTTTTCAAGTCGGCCACTCCGATAAAGCGGATCATTTGTTTGTGTCAGAATGTACAGGAGTCGATTCATCTTGAGTTTGACAGCTCTGATATTGATATAGCATAAATAATAAAGCATGCGAACTTATTGTGAAATATTGAGCCAGTAGCTTGATGTAATTGTGTTTTTAAATAAACGTAATATAATAGCCTTATATTTTGAAACTTATTTTACGCCTGCAGACGAATTTTTACGTAGAATTGTTTTCTATCAAGTGCGCTTATTCAGTGCAGTAACTGAGTACGAACTGAAAGGCAAATCGTAGCAGAGATTTCTAAGTCTCTCTTCACATCTCAGGTGCTATTGTTTTCGCCTCTTATTTCTCTTGGCGCAAATACAACGGGAATTTGAAACCGATCAGTTTGTTCCAGCGCTGAGTTTAAGCCGTAGTGTGCATCCGCGCCTGACCGTGTAGTTCTTGGACAAGAAATAATTTTGAATTTTTCTTCATTTATTTATTCTTCTTTCTTTGAAAAAAAAAACCTGACCGTGTAGTTCTTGGACAAGAAACAACTTTGAATTTTTCTTTATTTATTTATTCTCCTTTCTTTGAAAAAAAATTTGACCTTTAGACTGTCCGAGCAAATGCGTTTCCTATTGTAGACCAGAAGGAATGGTAGTACACAGGTAGGAAATACGTACGTCCTGCCTAATTTATTTTGTTCTTTATTATATGTGTATTTAGTTTAGTTTATTTAGTGTTCTGTCTGACGACAGGTCCATATGAACAGGATCCTTCCATCCTTTTCTCGGACTGGGACCTGTTCATATACGTTCTTGGCAGATGATCCAGAAGTGGTTTGCCATTGCCTTCTTCTGTGTGTGAATGGAGTAATTGTTGGGATGCTACGGAGAAACCGGGGAAGCCCCCGGAGGAAAACTCCATGTTGCCTAGACCACAGCCTTGCCCAACACAAGTTATAAATTTGGGCACCGCCGGGAATCGAACCCGAGACTCCAGGATTACGAGGCCAGCGTTCTAACCGCTAGACCACCGTGTATAGTTAAGATGAAAGTCGTGTATTCCTGTTGGATTGTTCTCCTTGAATATTTCAAAATAACGTAACCTTAAGGGGAGCTATGGTAAGAAAAAGTAATCCGCAGAATCACAAAGACGTTACCTAGAGGACGTACAAGACCTGAATTTTGTTTTGTTAACTTTGTGAATTGGGGCAAATACCATGCAGACTCCAAAGTCAAGCGACGCGTTGATAGAATATTTTTTCCTCTTTACACACGCTCTCAGCGTTAGACCCGTACGTAGTTATGGTGACTGGAGAAGCAATCAATGCTTTCCCGGGGAATTCGGTCACTAGTTCTAAATTTATCCACGGCTTCTTTTGCGTAGGATGAAATAAGTTCTCTTTACTTAATAGCCCCTTCCCACCTCATTTCGCTTCACGTCTTGCTACGGGTCATAAATCTTTGCTGTAGCGACGAAGTTGTTTGATGGAGGAAGGATAGGCAAGTGACAGTAATTTCAAAAAGGTCTCATCTATCACGGCCTATCAAAAGAACTTTGTAAAGTACTCCTTTACGAAGCAGTGTTTTTGTTTCATATTTGCAGCAACTGGCCAAAGTGTATGAAATAAGGCCCATGATTAGTAATAATAGAAGTTACTGTGAGCCCAAGACTCTTAGACTTTGATACAGTATGTATAGTTACCCTAAATTAGGTCTACCGATAGATTTATTTACACAGTTTCGTATTAATTATGCGAGTGTTCTATGGAAGCCAGGAAATAACTCGAAACTGACGTAAACTTCTGGGCACCTTTGTATATTTTTAAGGTCATTCGATTTCTTTGATCGTTACAGTTTTCGGACTGGAACCGCATTTTCAGGGGGAAAAAATTATTTCAGAGTATGTTACCATTAGCTTAGTTTCTATTTGTAAGTGTAATTTATTATTTTATTGTATTATTTATTCTTAGGTTTGTATTGGTATGCAGGAATCAAATCAAAATTACTTCTGGAACTAAGTGTTCTTAAAAAAGTTTTTATCTTACGGCCGTCAGTTATGACAGACATCGTACAACAGCGTTTCCCAAAGCGGGGGCCGCCGTCCCCAAGGGGTCGTGACGGAAGACACATTCAATTACAAACATAAAATTTAATAGAAAACACTTCTTCAATGTTAAGTGTCATTAGTAATTACTTTTTAAAATTATTTAATGATATTTGAAGTCAGTGAGCGCGAGGTTGCATTTTGCTTTTAGTTCTTGCATTACTTTAAAACTCACCGGATGAACCTGTGATGTCCATTGCCTTGAAGTTGCGACCCTTGATGATGGTCATGGTGAGGCGGCCAGCAGTGGGCAGATAGCAGAGGGACAACATCAGCTCTCCCAAGTCCACCTTCTCCTGTTATAATGGACAGGACACGCGTTAGGCTCTCTAGTTATTGAAAGGAAACAGTTAACCTCACTTAAACGGTCTTCTGTTGAGTTCATATACGGACTTGTTTCTGATAATTACCGACATCAGGGCTCGATTTTGCACTCCCCCTCCTCAATATTCATATCTTCCTTCCCCTCTTGTGACAGACAAGGATCACTATAAACTAATAAATCAGTAGAAAACCGACATGTTACGGAATGTAATGGAGCTTCATACGTAGACGGATTATTTGGAACGACGAAACGTAATTTAACTAGCTCATATTGGGTCTAGTGAAGGGCTCATGTGAACACGGTAATGAACATTTGGTGATATAACCCTAAATTTCAATAACAAGTCAGGAAAGAAACTGGATCGATATATACATGAATAAAACCAAGAAGACCTTTAGGAATAAAAATTGTTGTTAAAATTATAGTGTAAGAAAAGTACAATGGATATTTCGAGAATGTTTCAGCTTTAAAATTACTCGGGATGAAATTAAATGAATATGATATTCGTTAATCTCCTCTCGTTTCTCGCCTGTTCATTGTTTTGTGTATACACGCACAAAATATAAACCTTTTGTTTCACGTGTTTGTTTTCCAAAATGCATTGTTATTGACTAAATGCAGGTGATGCAGTTACCACTGAGATTTAAAGGGTTAAGTGGTTTGGGACTGAATCCAGTGGCAAGTTTTAGGATTAGTGGCTTCAAAATTGTTTTTTTCCCCAGTCTGCAGTTCCTTGAAAATGATGCTCCATGATGTAGGCGTAGCACGATGACAAGATAAGTGTAGCATGTCTGATTCATTCTTTCAGGTCTGGTAGAGTGCAAGCTGTAGCAGACCAAATGCTCTTCTGGGGTACCCAGCGCCGAAAATCGTATCGTTTCAAGTCCGGTGAATGAAGTGGCTGCCGTTAATGTACGGAAGACAAAATATTGTAACTGGTGAAATGTGTAGTTTTGTGATGATAAGTGGAATAGTAGGAACTCTTAAAACTCACGGGAAGATTCAAGAAAAAAAAATCACCGCTCCCCCCTCCTCCAAGGGTTCGGAAAATGTCTTCAAAATGGTAAGTGATTAGACCATTATTACATAGCAAACTTCTATAAGGCCTGTCGTACACATGGACACATTATGCTGCGTTTATTATGAATATGTTTTTCGTTAGGTCCGTGTCATTTCGGAAATTTCATAGAGATGAGCGACCTAATTTTTTTATAATAAACGCGATTCCAGGGTGTTTTAATACCCAGTACTGTTAGGTCACCGGCTATCATGTAGTACAGCTGTGTAAGAGTGGAAAATGAATTATTTGAAACGGAGTTTACTTCATTGTTTATGGAAAAACATTTATAAAGCTTAATGCATTAAATAAAGTCTGTTATACGTCCTATAAATTCATATAATTTGCCGTGTAAACAATGACGCTGTATAAACTTATTAGTTAGTTTTATCTAGAATGTTTTGTCTTAATATAGGCTTAGAAGACACCTATTTAACTTTAAAAGTTATAAGAACTATAATAGTTTAATTTGGAAATGTTTGAAACTCTTATGTATAAAAGAATTCCACACACACACACACATTCCAATTCTCCGGTAGTGGAAACACAAGATTTGTAATAAGAAGACTGCAAAGGTCTAACTGTACCGCATTGCGCTTTCCACTTACAGTGAGTACACCTTTGCATTCTGAATGCTCCGAGCTGAAATTGAAAGACGGTTTTCATTTGACTCTCCCTCGTATATATATTTATGATGAAAGCACTACCGAAAGTATTGTTCACGAAAGCACAGCAATACATAGATCACAGGTGATGTAAAAACATTAGTGTTTTTAACGTGCCTAAGTTAAAATTTATTGACGAACTCTTTTATCAAATCATATTACTCGTTAAAAAACTGGAGCGAATTGTAATCCATATTACGTACTTTAAACTGTCATCACTTATAGGCCTGTCTCTGTACCAGTGGATCGCAAACGGGTTAATTTGCGAAAATCCGTTTTGGTTATGAAATATTTTCGCGAAATAAAACCTATTTTTATTTCAGTAGTCTACGTATTTTTAATTTACAGTCCTATATACAAAAAAATTAAATTTCCTGGTTTCGTTTCTGTCGCTGCATTATGAGAACGCTGTTTGGCATAGAAGTGTAGAGCTTCTTCACAGCACTGTTTTTTTCAGGCCAGTCCAAAAGTTAATCTGATGAGCGTATGTGCGCGTATTTTTCAAATCCGTGTCGGTTGAAATGTCCTCCTATCGTTGTTCTTCTAGGGTGGGAGGGGGAGGGGATAAATTGGATTTGTAACCACTGGAAACCTACCAAAGATATAAAGAATACTCTTTCACTGTAACTTTTAGGTCTCGTAAATGTGTCCTTATGTCTCTCGGGTCATTAAAAATATTGATAGAAGATTACAGAGATGCCTGGGTAAACACGTGTGTCCCGCCAAAAATACCGTTCAAACATCACTACGTTACCAAAAAAAAAAAATGTGGAGAGATCTTAGGGAGACGCTACAGATGCTGGAATGAGAGCACGGAAGCCCCCTGCTCCTAATAGGTGGAAGGTTGACAGTGATAATGATGATAAATTATGATTCCTTTATGAAGAGTACAACAAAATTTATTCTATTGAAAACCACATGCATTTGTAACAGGTGCAGAAAAAATCTATTCAATTTTCAGTCTAGTATTCACTCTGCGTATTTGATTCGAGTCTTCACCCGACTTTATTAATGCGGCTTATCTTTCGAGTGCAGGTGAATTTTGTTTTATGAAACAACTGAGCTGCGGTGCAAAACGAGTTTGAAATTACTTTGTGGTTCATTCACATAGAACTCTTTTTCCAAATCATTCATACTGATGGACAATAAATATTTGTTCTTTTTAATCCCATCTATGTAACTCTCTTTCTCATTGTATTGTAAAGAGAAGTCAATATTTTTTTTAGAGCAGTAGCGGAATTCTTTGTGGTTTACTGAGTGGTTTATATAAATGTGCTATGATGCGATATGTTAAATTCGTTCAGTTGTACCGGGTGAATTATGTATTAACGTTCTTGAATATTCCTGTTTAAAATGAGCAGATTAAAGAACGCTGTACACATGAACATACCTTCGACTTTTTTATATGTAATGTAAGTCATAAAAAACAGATCAATCTGAAATTTATTTTACTGTCTTTGTCACGCTATCTCAGGTGCTTTGTATTTGAGTCATTGAACTCGAAGATTCAGTAATTAGATTGCAGTGGTCTTATATTTTAAAAGAAGACGTTTGATGAAAGGCTGCCGAGGAGAACAGCCTGATACGATTTACGAAAGTAGTAACAGGTTGGAAAAAATTACGTGATGAGGAACGTCATAATTAATGGTGTTGTCTACCAGTTTTGTGTAGGTAACCAAATGAAGCAGGATGAGATGGGCGTGGGACAAATGAAAAATGCTACGTTTTAGCCCAAAGCCCCGAAGTAAATAAACTGGTTGGAAGATAGTATTGAAATATGACCTGTACAAACAGACTGGCGTCAATGACACTATATGCTCATCTGTATTTGTTTTACAAAATCATAGCTGGATGTATCCTCGGTATGTGCGACCACATTTGAACATTTAATAGAACGTAAACAGTACGTGCTTGCCCCAAAATTTCCTGTCATCTTAGAGTTTATTGAAAATACGTCTCTGATTTGCTTGTTTTCGCGTTGCTTTGCGTTTGTGGGGAACACTAGCATCACGCAATTCGGGATTTAGGTTAAGAATGGAAAAGGACGTCTTTTGTCTTCAAGCCACGTGTAGGACCTGTCTGTGTGCAGGTTTCTCCGCGTCAGCATTAAGCTGCAACGATGTTTCGACGAACGCCCCTCCTCTCAGGGACGCTCAGCGGGAGCGGTGCAGGAGGAGGTCTGGTTTTCTATCATTGATCCTTCTCCACACCGCTCAGTTTTGAGTTTCCGAAACAAGTGACGTCACATGACAGATAACAGCTTTGTTTGGCCGCGTATAATACAGCACACGTGCGACAAGGAATATTCCCTGCTTGCCTATATTCTGTTTATTCACAACATATGTTTCTGTTGCCAGTAATATTTATGTAACAGGTCACTAGTCATACATCGCTTAAAGATTTTTCGAAAAGCGACGAAGTTATGCGTTAGGTACGAATGGTTTTCTCGTGTTTCTTTCCAAAAGGAAGAGAAGAAGGCAGGTCTGTATTAAACAGGGATTCTTAACCGGCGGCCCTATGATGTGTACTTTTGCAATGTTAAATCTATATAATAAATGTAGCAAAACAACAAATTTGTTAGGATATGGAGTAATATCTGCATCTCTTTGTGACAGTAAGTTAGCATTTGAAATCAATCTCCATTGTTTTAATCAATTGGCATTTGTAATTCAACAGCCCACGAGTAGATAGAAGGGTAAATGTATCCACAGGTCTTGAAACGCTGAGAACTCCCTCAATCTATAATTTTACGACGGCAAACAAAATAACCTTTTCTCTAATTTAGTGTGAGTATAAAACGTGGTTGATGGAATGAAATAAATTACACGTATTTGAAGCCATAAGACGTGAGAGTATTTGGAATTCGTGTCAAGAAAGTGTTTTGGGATATTAAGTGACTACAAGCTTTTTGAATTAAAAGTTTTAGGCTGAAAGGTTTACGTGAAAGAGCGAGGAGGAAATGATAGGATAACATTAAGATTAAACTTAGGCAGGTAGGTGGTAGGGTTTGGAGATTGGTGAAACTGACTCAGATTCGTGTCTGTTGATGGACTTTGTTGTTAGCTGTGTCATTCAGCTCGAAGATGTAGCATAGAGACGGGATAACAGCAGCTCGCCTGCCTTCTCGAGATGCATCCGGCACCCAGAATCATAGGAACAGTAATGTTCTGGAAGACATCCGTTCGTCCTTTAGTAAACTGTGTACTTATTCTCTCAGTTACTGAAAATCGATAACCATTTTCAAGACTCCAGTTCTCTACTCTGGAAGTCAAAGTTTAAAAGTTTTCCGCTTCTCCTGGGAGATGCGACGTGCAATACAATATATCACGGGGTAAACAGAGAACATAGTGACTGAATGACGTTTGTGGCTGAGATAAATAAGTTTAAAAAGAGACTTGACTATTTTGTGGCTGTTCTGGCCTATTTTACCACCCGAATGGTAAAGCTAACTGAATTAACTGCCAAATATAGTGGTTAAATCCTTTTGAAACAGTAAGGGGACTTCGTAATGGAACGAAATTCAGGTTCTGGTAGTGACTAACATGTTAGTTTAGAAGAAGCTCACTACACCTAGTCAGGAAATTGTGCATAAGACAAGTGAATTATTACATGTGTAAAGGTGATTTGCCATTACGCTCCGCTTCGGAGTGTTTTGTTTAAAGAAACAGGGCCACTATCAGTATTTTCCTTTGTGTTAAACTACTGTCCGAAAACTCGTTCCACGCTGCCAGTTTGTTAGCTCAAGCGCACCTGGGCCTCCGCTTATATTCCGTTTCTCCTGCTTTCTCTCCGAGGTAGATCCAATTTTCTTATCATTCATTGTGATCCGGGGATGCACTGCGTAATGTTTGGAGCGTATAAGGGAAGATACATGAGTCTTAATTCCTTATTAGTTCACTTTCCCAGCTGCTTTTCTCGCACAAAAGTTCCCCTTCCATTCTGAAATATACTATGCATACCTTCCTCGTCTATAGCAATAAAGGGCCTCTTCTTAAGAAATAAATTCCAAGTGTCGGCCTGTGCATTCGTCTGATCCATTTATTATGGAATAGGCCGTCTAGTCTAGCCTAGTCGAAAGTCTAACTAAGCATAACGATGTGTCAAAGTATGAACTACTATAGCATCCAAGAGTCGAATCGAGAAATTCCCTGCAAGTTGACTTTCGACTTTACTGCCTTCAGATGTGCGGTAAAATCTTATGCTTACTGTTTTGCTGCTTTATTTCTGTGTTAATATCATGTCATTTCTAGAAGCGTTCGCAAAGAAGTTGCAAGAGTATAATTATTAATTTCGCCATGTCTGTCTGTTCGCTCGTAGTAACTCGGCGTTATAATTATTAACGTGTGTGTAAAATTGAACTCGTCTCTCTCAGTGAGTATTTGAAACGTGCATTAATACAGAATTCAACATAATTTGAGACAAATGTGAGCATTGAAACTATGAACATGTTATGGTATTAAAGAAAACACAATTAAACTTACCGTTTTGTAACTCATATTCTGGAAGTAAAATTACTTTGTTTCCACTGCGAAGATTCTAACATATTCCGGGAAATTCAGAACATAGCTACTGTTTGGGAGAATGGAATCGTTTATACCAGACTGCATTTCTCATTATCGCTTTCTGTTCTCCATTTTATATACATGAACGCGCAATGGGACATCAGTAAACTATTTCAGTGTGAACTGTGATGTTTTCATACGCAGTAGATTATGAAAAAGCATCAAAGACAAAGCGCAATACGAAACCGCATTGTGCTTCCGCTTCAAGAAGTCGAACTGATATTAATCGTACATAAATTACTGTCAAAAAATCGTAATTAAAGTTCTGAGTTTGCCCTTAAGAGCTATACAGTTTCGAAAATTGCGGATTTCTCTGTTGCAAGATTAACTTAGGCCGTCCAGACTCTGGTTTTCTGTAATAATACCCGAAGTATGATTTAAAGTAATATCGCAAAACTGTAGATTTTAATTCTGCATTGCGTAATAATAATAATAATTCAATTTATTTATTTAAGTGCTTGACAACAGCCAAAAAGGCCAATAACAGCCAATCAACTAAACCAGAGTACAGGATAAAATATAATAAGTAATTAATTTATTTCAATAATAATAAAAGTAAAAGAAACAAACAAATGAAACTAAATATTAAATGTACCATATTAATAATAAAATAATAATAATTCGATTCATTTATTGAATAATATTTCACAAATAAATGGGCTAAATACGATACCTAAGTAATATAATTCTATTTAATAATTCTAAATACAATAAATAATACTAAATAATAATAATAATAATAGTTCAATTCGTTTGTTGAGTGTTTTTCAGCGGCAAAGAGCCTATGACAGGCAAAGACTAATACAAAGATAGAAATTTGATAAAAAGAAAATAATATACCTAGGTAAACACTAGTATAAATGAAAAACACTAATAAAATACTACTACTACTACTACTACTAATAATAATAATAATAAGTTATAGGGGCAACAGAAACTGTCTCCAGGTCGCTCAGAAAATATTTGGCCAACATCCCGGGCGAACACGACATCAGGGAACTGCAGAAGACCGCCATTTTGGGAACTTCAAACATAATCCGAAAGACGCTTTCATAAAATAAAATTATATAATACATGTGGCACTTGATAAAAACAATATGGATTCCGGAAATAGCTGCTGCCCCATGTACCTTAGGGACAAGGTCTGTCTCGGGTACATGGAAGTACGTACTCTATAAAGTGGTGGATAGATGGGATAATAATAATAATATTAGTGATAAATGACGAAAAACGTTTTGGAGGAGACGTTAGCCTACCTGCTCCGTATTCGACACGACCCAGGTCAATATTTTGTCCCGGCGGCTTGCTTCCTTGACTGATGCTTTTCATGGTGATATGTGCCGGTATAGTACTGGACATTATACCACTATAACTTTCTTCCATGCACTTTTCCAGTTCATTATTAATTAAGCTTAAGTAGTCGAAGTTCAGTCGCCTGCATGAGAATATCATTATGGTGCCACATTAAAAAAAAAAGTTCACCCTAAACCACTTCTCGGTTTTGTATTATCATCAAACATCGCTTAACATAACATCCTCCTGTTAACAGCTTCTCACACAGTCCAGTTCGCTACAGACCAATTTCAGCAGCTTTAATTCTGTTTTATGATTGTGTTTGTGATTTGTTTGGTGACGCTGTCAACAGTTCAGATTATATACCGCCAAGTAATACATTTTTTAATAGTAAATTGGAAAGGATATGAAAAGAATCTGCCTTGATTTTATCAAAATATTATCCCAGCTCTTGGCTGGAGGAACTGAGGAAATTCACGAAAAACTTATCGCTCTGGAGTTAAGTGTATATTTTTGTTGTTGATAACGTTCCATGAGATTTACATAGTGCAGTTAATGTATTGTTTGATAAGTGATCCGAAATAATTTAGATTCTTCCCTACAAGTTCGGATAATTATTGGCCTTTGTATTGTTCGATAGTATTCTTCGTTCCAGATTAGTAGAAAAAGTGCAAATTAGTTCAGATACCCAAAAATTTATGTAATTAAATGAAATGTCTGACTCACTTGTGGTGCGCATAGCACGTTCATGGTAAACTCCAGCTCCTGATGCAAGTCTGTGCTGTCAAGGAGACCTTTTAGAACAACTTGGCCGATCAGATCGTGCCTTGAGAACCGATCGAAGTCATACACCGAAAACTGTAGATATCGTTGCTTCAGGTCCTCGTATCCGACACTAAAATTAGACAAAATAACTCTTGTTATTGATTACATGCGAATATTATTAATTCATCGGACAATGAGAACAAAAGCCAAAACCCGAAATACAACCATTCACATGAAATTCACGCGAATAGCAGCTAAATACATGAGCCGGGATAGCTCAGTCAGTATAGTGACTAGCTACGGGCTGGACGGCCGGGGTTCGATCCCCGACGGGGATAAAGGATTTTTCATCTGGCCTCTGTGTCAGACCGGCTCTGGGGCCCACCCAGCCTCCTCTACAATGGGCACCGGGGTCCTTTCCCGGAGGTAAAGCCGGCCGGACCGTGATGCTGACCACTCACCCCTATCTAGTGCCGGGGTCAAGGAAGAGAGGAGCTATACCTCCACTCACCCCAAACGCCTTTACGGCACGTGGCGGGAGAAACTAAACTAAGCAGCTCAATACGCATGGATGGGCAACAACAGAAATGGACACGAATTAGAAGAATCGATAACAGAATCTGTGTTGACGTATTGACAAACCACGTGGATTAATAAATTGAAGGTGACTTTTTTAGATACTTAATTAACGCCAAAACTGGCAAAGAAGTGGTCAAACTCTCACTGACAGATGTTGATGATTTAATTCAATTGTGTTTAGACAGCTGAGTCGGTGAAGTGTTTTGTACTGTCTACAGCGGTTCGATTCCCGCAAAGATTAGACGTTTTCTCCTCGCCACCAAGTTCACACAGGCTGTGGCGCTGACTCTGTCTCCCAGCCAGTGATTATCGGCAGCTCTTTCGTCGGGGCTGAAGAGGTCGGAACCTGAACGTAATACGTCGTCTAAATCTAATGTCAGCATTGGAACGAGTGAAGTTTTACTACACGTCTTTAT